CTTGCTGTCATCTGTATCCATTTTCAGCAGCACTCTTTCAAGTACAGCTGCAGGTGAGAGACAGAGCAGAGGCCCTCTCATAAGATCAATAGAGCTTGAAGCTTCAAAACTGTTCAAGGAGTGAATCTTCTAGTTCCTGCTTTTAATTTTAGAGTTCAAACACATTGTGGCCTTATACTCAACACTGCTGAAAAAGTAATTCAGATTTCAAAAGCTAGCTGAATCCCAGTGCTGCAGATACTTACATCATCTGACAGAACCTGGCTCTTGTCAGGAGAAAATGAGATTGCAATGGGCCAGGCAGTGCATGCAATGCTAAGGGCACAGGGATGCTGCTGCAGTGTGCTGTTCCTTTCTTTCAGAGTCTCACTATTTCTGCTGCTTGGCTGTCCTGTGCTCTGGGCTCAGTTACGTGACCAGCTAAAGGAGCCTGAAACCCAAAAATAGAGAGCTGTCATATTCCCAGTGCAGGAAATACAGGCATCTTATTAGAGGAGAGTGAAGTGACCAAAAACAGTGCTTCAGTTAGCAAAGCATGATATGTGACAGGCATGTTTTCACTTGTAATACTGCGCATGAAGTTCTCCCTTAGTTCAACCAATGCTTGCAGATTTTTGGGTGACAGATGCCAGCTTTACCACTCACACATGCTTGTCTATAGAAGAATGAAGCATAAAACAGAGGAAAAGAATTTACCAGATACCTGAGGATTAAGAATTTATTTTATGCCTTTTCATTGCTACAGATTATAAGGAAATATACCCTGTTTTCTTGACAATATTGCATTAGTTATTTAATACAGTGTAACCCTGTGACAGCCTAATTTTCACAACTACAGGAATCCAATCACAAAATACTAAGAAATCCCAACTCCAGGGACAGGACTGGAGCCCTCAAGGCTCATGTTCTGCACAGTGTTACACAACACCTTCAGCATACAGTAGAAAGCGAGACTTCAAATGATACCTGTAGGGGTTAAGCTGCTTGAAACCAATTGCAAAAGAGGGAAGGCAGCAGAAATGACAATGTTCTGAACCTGACTGAAAACCAACACAAATTCAGAGACAGATTCAGCACAGTGTGACATGCAATGGAAAAAAACTCAGGACAGAAAAAGGAATAGACATATATAGAAAACACATCTTCACTGTTTCAATCTGACCAAACCAAGTGCTTAAGAGAGATTACAACAGTGAAAATCAATTTCACCTTTTATTCCAAAAGTTTCACTTTCCCTTATCATAACCAAAAAAGCAGGTAAAGACAGACTAAGCACTCATGCAGCTCCAGGACCTTTAGCAGACTTGTTACTCACATTAATGTTGAATGAAGACTAGGTTTAAACATACAATACGTTTCTGAGGAGTCAGGGTAGTTTTCTGCTCAAGAATAATCAATAGCAGTGGCTTTTGCTTGGTAAATTTTTCAACTGAGAAATACACATTGAGGATGTGATCAAAAGATCATGTAAACACGTAAGATCAGAGAAAGAAACATACGAGATCGTCAGCTGCTACATAAGTTCCATCAATCAGACTTTACAATAAGATACCTTAAAAATCAGCTGAGGCAGGCTCTATAGCAGTATTAACAGTTGTATTTGAAAACTGGCACACAGTCAACGTCTGTTTTTAAACAGAAAGACAAGGGAGAAGCATTGAGGACTTCAAGAGCAGAGTTTGAGACCTTCAATTTTTAATTCTAAAAGATACTTTTGAACAAACACTCAAACAGTTTCTCAACAGTAACTGACATCAGTTGTCCAAAACCAACTTACATTAAAGTTATATTTTTCCAATAGTAATCTAAGGCTAGTACTAGATAAAATACTTTGATGTCCGGCTATCTCAGGACGTTCTTATAAGCAAGACAGGGAAACAGAACTCAGATTAAACTACTACTATATGAATGCAAATTATCAGAAATAAGAAAAACAACAGTCTACTGTCAAAAGAGAAAGCTGGAAAGATGTAATGCAAAAATATTTTCTAGGATCACTTCCAATTCTCACTCAGTGCCTAGGTGACAAAATAAATAGAAAAATGGAATTTGGATGTCTCCCAGACTTACTGGAGAACAATATTCAATATAAAAATGTTTGCAATAAGAAGTCTAGAAAAATATTCTTTTTACTTATCAGCATTAAATGCTAAGCTCACACTGTAGGCCTCAAAATTTAAGTCTGAATCAGCTACTGCAATGGATAAGACCCCAAATTTTTGACACATTGGATACTACAGCATTCTAGCATAGCACAAGGCTATAAGCTATTCCACAGAATTTAGTTTTCTTTAGCTGCATTAGGCATTTTCCTCTACCAGCAGAAAGCAACCACTGAGAGGATTAATTAATAAATAAATACTCTCTCCCTCCAAAAATAATTCTTTACTTGATTTATTTCAGATCTCTGTTTTTTTTTTTTTTTTTTTTTTTTTTTTCCATGTTTCATTTAACTTTTCCATTCAGAGATTTAGGAATAACTTTAGCAATTTAGAAGGTAAAAAAAATACTGCCATCTCCTGGAGAAAGCCAATCTTGCAGATCTCTGAATGCATTCTGCTGTCTATCTAGCATTTCCACGCAACCTCAGGCACTTAGCAGGTTACTATCAGGCACTGCATTCAGAAATGCCAACAAAAACTGGAGTAGAGTGCAATCTGCAATATACATTCTCTAGCCCAAAGTCAGTAGCAACACGAACCAGGTCTTCCCATCCACCCCAACAAATTCTACATGTGAACAGATTCTTTTCAATCAGCCCTCCTTATCATCATATGAATATCGAAGATCCACCTACATAAAAGTGGAAGAGGGACCAGAAACCAAACACAACACTTTGTTCTCATTAAATGCACAGCAGACTGAATGGAGCTGTGGGATTCCTGACCTACAGTTTTCAAATCTTTCCAGTATCATTTTGTTTTCACTGTTAAGCATCAGTAGATCCATTACTTGTTTTTCTCAACAGCCTTCAAGCAAGAGTTTCTGAGAACACAGCAAATGCTCTATGAGCATACCCTAGTCAGGTAGGCATCTGTGTTCCTAGATCATTGAACAGCTCACATGACAAGAATATCAGTCCATTAGTGAATATTCTATACCTACAAAGGCACATAAAAGTTTCTTCTATAACAATTTAAATATTAATAGCTATTTAAATATACATATATATTGCTATTATTAACAAGCAACATTCATGACACATTATCAGTAATGATTTACAGTGGGGAGAAAAACAGCTACTTACCAAGTAATTGGGGTCACACCTGGTAACAAGAGTCTGTGTTGTAGGTAGGCTGCAAACTGCATTATACAAAGGCTCATCCATTTCCTTAACAACGCTGGCTGTTGTCCTTGTTCTAGTTCTGTTTCAGAATAAATTTAAAGCTACCTTATGAATCAAGTGCTCCACTTGTTTCAGCTACACAGGCTCTGCCTGTATACAATCCCCAGAATATATATGAAACACTACACAGCTGTTAATGCTTTAAAATTATTCTTCTAATAACAACTAAACAGAAAATAACATTCATACTTCTCCCTATTAATTCACCTTGGAGCAGGCGTACAAGTAACATGTGCCTGTATTCTTACAGTGGCAGGGAAGGATACTGAGAGGAGCAGGAAAACCCACCTTATAAACACATGGCTGAGAGGCTGGTGCAAATGCAAGAATTTGGGGCTCTTTGATCATGGGGCGGTCTACTCGGCACCTGGCATGAGGTCTGCCAATGGGTATCACCTATCCCAAAGGGGGAAACAGATCCTTGCCCAGGAGGCTGGCAGGTCTTGTAGAGAAGGCTTTAAACTAGATATGAAGGGGGAAAGGGATAAAACTAGGCCCACTACAGATAATTAGTTTGGGGGAGCGGTAATGGGATTAGGGGTGAGGCGAAGGGCTCAGCTGAAGTGCATCTATGCCAATGCATGCAGCATGGGCATCAAACAAGAATAGTTGGAAGCCATTGTGCAGCAGGCTTTGACCCAATTGTTCCATTATGGAAACACGGTGGGACTGCTTCCATGACTAGAGTGCTGCAATGGCTGGTTGGCTCTTCTGGAAGCATAGGCAAGGAAGGAGGTGTGGCAGCATGGCTCTCCATATTAGAGAATGCTTTGATGTTACTGAGCTTGTGGGTGGGGATGATAAGGTCAAATCCCTATGGGTAAAGATCAGGGGTAGGGCTAGAGAGATTCAGGCTGGACGTTAGGAAATACTACTTCTCTGAAAAAGTGGTCAGGCACTGGAATGGGCTGCCCAGGGAGGTGGTGGAGTCACTGACCCTGGAGGTGTTCTATGAACGTCTGGATGTTGTGTTGAGGAATATGGTTTAGTGAGAACTATTGGTGATAGCTGGATGGTTGGACTGGATGATCTTGTAGGTCTTTTCCAACCTTGGCGATTGTGTGTTCTTGGAAGTTTGAACCCTTTTTTTTTTTTTTGGAACAGAACATATCAAAAGGATGAAAAAAGTATTGGTCAAGCATAGAAAACAGGAAAATTTTTGAAAGTAATATGTAATTACTACTCAAGAATTAAAGTACCCTTTGTAAGAGATGTTACTTTCATCCTCTGTTTATGTGAACAGTATGAAAAATCTACAATGGCTTTGCCTGATGTTATTTCTTATCTAAGAATTTAATGTGATACCATGCCTTTCTCTTCTTTATACTGATTTGCTTTCTGAGCCTTCTTGAGAGCTTTAGCTGGTTAGGAACAAAAGATCCCAAAGATAAATTTAAGATTACTTTAAAAGTACTCTCCAAAGACAAACTAACTGTTTTCCCTACACTTCTTTTATTTCATGGTATTTGGCTTGCTTTTATTCTGCAATTATATCTGAAGTTCACAGGAACATCTCACATGTCAGTGCTTTTGGATGAACATAAGTAAAGGAATTGTGCAATGTTTGGCCACTGTCCCTTAGTTTCACTTTGCAAATTATACATATTGGTGTGGTCTATGCTTATTTAAAAAAAAATAAAAAATACAACTGACATGATATTTTAGCTCAACATTTATTTTATTTTCTGAAATAAAAAAAAAAAATCTTACACATCATTTGATTCTTACCAAAAGAATGTTCATAAATATAATTTTTTTCTTTTTAATAAAGATCTCCATCTGCAGTTGCAATCTGGAACACTATTCATCATTTTTTAACAGATTCCACTGAAGATAAGTAAATCTGTATTGTTTCAGGTGCTGGAAAGTAAATGTGTCTGCAGAACTAAGAAATTCTCTCTCCAGGCACTGGCCATTTGGATGAATTAACTTTAAGAATCTAACCACATATACAAAAGCAACCAAACTCCAGTCTTTATAGGATTCTTCAGCTGAGTTCAACATGACGGAAGCATGGAAACAGAGCAATTCACACGTGTAGTTGTCAGGAAACTCACTAAGAGAATACGGCGTATTTCTTCTCCAGTTCTTCAACAGAAGCATCTTTCAATCCCATGTGTTTCACATGACTGAATAGTACCTGTGTAACTGTGAAAAGAAAATCCCAGTGTAAACTGTTATTTCTGTGACTGACAGTCATAATGTACATTAGTCCAGATCTTTCCACTGAGAGTAGTAGTACTACATAGCTGAAATATGAGTATGTTTTCATGATTATTGAGAGGGTGAAGAAAAGTAGTGAAAACCTTGCTCCGTTTTGATACTCATGAATTGGCTAACAACACTTCTTCAAACAGCTATACAATCCTGACAACACAGATTTTATTTTACTATCTTGGCACTACAGCATTAACTGCAAAGGTAAAAGTTAATGCCAGATGGCAAATAAAACTTACTTCAGGTTATGGTGTTAAGGCAATTCGTAAGTGGAATTTACTTGCACTTCAGTGAGTCAAATAAGTAATCTTATTTTAACTAGAGACACATAATATTTGGAAAGCATAATGGTTATAAGCAAAACTTAGTTGTAGATAGCAAAATTAGCATTACTTGGTCCTAGATAAAGGTTTGGTTTTTAAGTGTCTCATTGTTACAGACAGACTGGAAACATGAGAGGAAAAAAAAAGCCAGTTTTAGAAAGCAGGAACTCAAGCCAATGCCCACCTAAATCATAAACCAATCTTAGCAGTGTCTTGAGAACAAGAGACGCAGACTCAGAGGTTTAGAAAGTAGCAAAAATGAAGCAAGTCATAATTGCCACGAAATGGTCTTAAATTGTGAAATGTTAGCTGGTACACCTAGACCTCAAATCTAAGACTTCATACAAATCCATAAACTTGTAGCACTATGGAATGACAAGCTGAAATGCTAGTGAGGGCTATTTTATCAGATTAAAAGGAGCTGGTATAATTGACAAAACTATGGAGAATTTAGCTGTAGCTTTTTGAGTCTTAACCAAAAGATTAAGAAAAATAATAACGCTTCCCACATTAACCCCTAGAACAATTAAAACATTGAACAAGACAAGTAACTAATCTTTAATAGATTATTTAATGGAATAAACAACAGGAGAAGCACTGTATTTTACAGTTCTTTTGCTAAATTTGGCAGTATCGTGGCCTATGTTTAAAATAATAGTGCTGAATTACTTACTTTTCTTCTCTGATTCTGACATAAACATTACTGCCATATCAAATCTTTTTAATTCAGATAGCCTTTGGAGGATTTCAAGGATGAGTGATGGCTCCTCTTTCCTGGAGAAAATTATTAGAAACATAAAAATAACTACTGCTCATTAGAAAGATTCAGTAGCTGCAAGCAATATTAAAGATGTCAGCAACAAGAAATGAAAGGATCTTTGCTTCTCATCTTTCTTGTTCATTCTTCCACTGACTAAGCAAAGAGACACTCAGAAATTTTCACGCAGTTATAACACAGAGCAAGAAAAGAGAAATACAGAAAAAGAAAGTAATGGACTGATGCAAACAGATTGCTCTTGAGGCACAGAACAGTTTTATGATTTAATGCTTACATCTTGCCCCAAGAAGCATGACATTAGTTACTGTCATTTGTTCCCATACAGTAAATTCTTAGACAGTGTGAATTTTACATTCTTCTGCATAACAAGTAGTAGTAAGCAGTCACTGTCTTCACTACAAATACTAACAAGTATTTTTCTTTCATGACTTGTCTTTCTCCCTCCAGAAGAAAAACCTTTAACCTCACTGCAAACAATTTAAGCTTCCTAACCTTTATAAATCGTATAACAAACACAGGACCATAACTCTTAAAAATGTCATGTTTCACACATATTACACATATATTTTCAAAGAAATTGAAGGAAATCCTACTCTTTATTTATAATTGCTTTTCTCCATAAAACGACCTGAAAATATTTTGTATGTGGGATCTCAGAGTTTAAGAGGAGTGGCACACTGTCTCCAATAGACAAAAATCAACTTTAGGAAATCAAACTGGATAGTAATTTCAAAAATAATTGCCACCTCCTTTCTTACCAGAACATCTAGGTCCAAGGAAGCAATTAAAACTCACAACGTATCACAAGCTTAGCACAGAAAAATGACTGCCTGCATTTCTTATATATAAAAAGTTGACATTGTGCAACTGTATGTGATAATGGAACACACATACAAAAAATTACTTTGTACATGTCTAATAAACATTTGCTAGTGCTACACAGCAGAACTTTTCGAAAGACTAGGTTCAATACAGGCTATTTATTTCTTTAACTCTTTTCTGAATTTTCAACATACGTTTAATTTCTTATTAAGAAACAATTAAATCATTCCAACTCCCAAAGAGAAATAACCCTGCAAGAGCAAATGTAAGGAGAAGGGAGAAAACAAGCAAACAAAAAAACAACATAGAGTAGAAAGAAATGAAAGACAAAGGAGAAATCAAGCTTACTCAATGTAGAAGTCATGTAGAATTCTCATTATCTGGTTGAACAAGTCTGGATCTAGGGATTTCTGGAACAGTTTTGGATAAATCGAAGGCTCTATTTGCTTTGGAAAAATAAAAAAGGTGTCATGTTAAGGAAAAAAGAAAACACAGCAGTTCAGTCATGAGAATAAGAAATGAGAGTCTTTTGGATGTTTTGGGCAATGTCAGAAGTGCATACATGGGAAAAATAAATTAAAAAATTACTGTTGTATATTTTGACTTTCAACATTACTTTTGCATGTCTTTATTTTATCTTGAGAAATTATTGCTAAATTCTTTAAAAAAGGATTTTAAGCAATTTTTTTAAACCAAAATATATATAAGCAGAAACAAACGTTAATTCACATATTTGTTCACTTTAAAAACAGTATCGCTCTAATTAACCTAGAAGCATTAATTTGAGACATAAAAATTTAACATGGCTACTAATGTATTCAAGAGCGTATAGACTTAAAACCTATGCTTGAAACAAGACAGGTTATATACAGAGACTGTGCTCTGAGGCAAATGAAAGGGCAGGCACACAAGAACTATTCAAAACTGGACCACGATATCTATTATGTAAACATACTTAGAGAAAGGGATTACTGCACCTCATTCAGACAATCTAACATTGCTACCCATTTCACCTATGCCTGCACCGTTGCCTCAATGTTAAAGAAACTGCCACTCAATACTACAGTTCATACCTTCAGGTACAAGTACATTTTTTCTGGGCACTCTTTCAACTTCCTGAAATCAGATTCAAGCTGGAAAGAATTTGCAGGAATGGCAGGGACTGGAGATGCAGATCTAAATGATGTTTTGCTTTCTCTATCTATCTGCTTGTTCACAGATGGATGCAATACTGATGAAATTCCTTTGACACCAGCAGGAAGCCTGCAGAAAGATGTTGAAATATGTAATCTATAAAACATTTACAGAAGTTTTTGAAGTGCAACCTAACTGGAGACCTTTGAAATCTTGAAAGATCTGCGATACGTTAATCTGTAAAATTAAGATGAAAAAAAGCTATAAAAGTAAAAATTAAAGTAACATAAAATAAAACACCTATAAGAAAAAAACAACATTCAATATACAAAAGATTTACACTCATTTAATCTTTTCAAACACAAATATACTCAGCAGTTCCCTATTTTTTTTGTAATTACTGATAGAATTCTATAACATAAAAAATGCAAACACAGCTGCAGAAAATACTACATTTTCTGCAATTTCATAATGCAAAATAATATCTGTATGTCTTGGCTCTGGCAGGAATAGTTAATTTTCTTCGCAGCAGCTGATACAGTGCTAAAACATATTTAGGGTAAAAACAATAATACACTAATGTTCCAGTTGTACAGCGCTGAAAACTTTTCAGCATGTGCTGTCCTGCCAGTGAGGAGGGTGGAGGTGCACAAGGAGCTGGAGAAAACACAGCAAGGACAATTGACCCAAACCAGCCAAAAGGATATATGTGAAGATATATTTTTATCCCATATTTTGTCAGGTAAGTAAATCTGTATTTTCAGCAATTCACTTTTTCCTTCAACACCTCACAGTAAATCAATCTGACCCAGCTGAAAAGGCAATGGGAAATGGTTCTCACAGAAATCTTCAATCAGTATTCCGTAAAAAAATATTAATGCAATGAGATAACAATGGTGCATGTGCACTTTTCTTAAGCAGACAAGCAGAGTTTCAACACTTAGTAGGGATAGCTGTCTCTAGGCTTCAGCCAGACTGTCTATCTAACACAATGAAACACAGGAACCATGAGCAAAGCCAAGTTATCAGCTGTCTGCTAAGAGGAAGAAAGGACACCATCTCCCGCTCCTTTTCTCTCAATCAACTGGCTTGCAAAGAACGTTGCAACTCTACTTAAGAATACACTTTGAATTGTTAAAATATAAATCATTGTTAGGAAAGAAAGCACACATGGAAGAAAATACAGCATAAAGGAAAATACTATAAAGGTATTCATATTCTAAAAAAATAAAAATAATAAAAAAAAAAGGAACACTTACCAGTCGTTCATCTGACACTGCACAGGTCGTATTTGTTTCAATTACTATGCAATCAATGAGGCAGATGTGTAAGAACTGCATGTTTCTTTTAACGTTTTTTAAATTCCAATTCTCCAAATTACATTCTATACTCATCACACGTAGAAATCTCACAATGAAGATTATATTTCAACTACATTTACCTTTTTAAAGGAGGATCAGAAATTTTATACTTACTGTGGTGACGACACATCTGTGATTTCTTCGATTTTCAATTGCTTTGCTTTTGGAATGTCCACTGAAGTTAACTGATTGTCCTGATCTAGATTCTCTGTTGTTTCAATATTCACTGAATTCTTCCAGTTATGAACTAAAGAAGAAGAGCTGGAGAAATCACTACTCAGCATGTCATCATCAACTTCTTCAATGGCTATTCTCCGCAAAGGCTTCTAAACAGAACACATACTTGATATCACATGCATAGAATTTACATCAGTGCAAACAGAGGCCTGGATAAACTGCTAGGTCTAATTTTAAACAATCCCATGACAATCAATTTCATCTGCGTTGGTACACATGGAAGACTTTCAATAAAGATAAATTTCCTTCAAAAAAAGAAAGCTTCAGTGTGTACAAAGTATTATATGACCATTTCTCCCTCAGTAAAACCAATGTACCCTTACTCTAGAGAATCTCAGAATCTGCACTGTCTCTCCAATAAAAAAATACAAACAAACAACAAAACCATACCCATTATGGTGACAGCCACCTCCCATTAAGAAGGTTGAACTAGCCAGGATAGCTTGTATATTGACCAACGATGTGATCAAACTTTGCAATTTAGCTGAACAAAGAAGCAACCATCAACATAAACCTTAACTCTCAACATAAAATTTTGAGATTATAAATATTACTAACTCAGGCCTCCTGGCATACCAAGTTGTATACATTACAAGGCAGTTAATCCTACCACTGGAGGGTATTCCAAGTAAATAAACTGCTTCAGCTTGTTTCATCTCTGCATGATCGCCATAATTTCTGAGCACCACCTAACACCACATTCATAAATCCTATGAGTCACTAATTAATGGAACTTTGGAATTACTGAGCTGAATATATAGTCTAAATTGTTCTACAAATATAGGTGCAAACATACACAGTTAAACATTCAGCAATTTAGGCTTCCATAAACGTCAGGTTTCCATCCATTTCTAAAACAATAACACTGCAAGCCTTCCTAGCAGTTTGCAAACTGCTACAAGTCATGTAAGTTGTCTGTTGCCCAATTATGAGATGGCCTATTGTCAAAGCAAATTGTACAAGTGTCCACTGGATATGAGATAAGAAGTTATATTTCTTCTGTGGGGAGTACAAAGAACACAGATGATTGATCTGTACCTGTTCTACCTTAACAGAACTGGAAAGAAAAAAAAGCAACCTGGTATTGCCTCTTAATTTAGCAGACAAACTGATAACTTCATAAAATCACTTACTGTATTTCAGCTGGTACGTAATAAATTCTTCTGGGTTTCTAAGGATAAAAGTATCTGACTACAGAGAGCGTATATCAAAGAAAGGTACCACAATAATTATACATTTGCTATCAAAACTAACCGCATACTTTGAACACGTTTTGTATTTACTTAAAAACACAGACTATGTGCCTATATCATATTGTCATACGTAACTCATTAATCTGAATATAACCATTGATAATTCATACTTTAGAAATACTGTTTCTTCAAAAATAGCATCCAGATATATCACAGTATATGAGGATGAAACTGGTGGCTCAAACTTACTGTAGTAACCCCGTGTGATATCAACATATGAGACAAGTAGGTAATATACCCTATTGCTATAGGAACTGAATACAGCTGTTGAAAAGGAAGAAGTTTATCTGGAGCTTTCTCAAGTCTGCAATTAAACGTGAGACTCAACTACTTCCCCTTCACTCTGCTAACTACGATGTTAGATATAAATCCAGGAGAAGGTTGTGAGGTTGCCTCCCCATTTCATATTACTGATATATGCATACACCATGCTTCCTGTGCAGCACTTTTTACATTGTGGCTACTACTGAACACACACACAGAACTGCAGAAATTACATTTTTGATAAAAATATCAAAAAAAGTCAATCTTTGAACTTTAAGCTGTCCACACGCACAACATATCTACGAGAAGACATACAAAAGCAAAAACTATATTTTAACTTAAACTCTACTTTTCCCATCATTATAGACAGCAATTCACAAAAGCAAAAACAAACAAACAAAACAAAACACCATCAAAAAACACCTAACTTACTGTTGATCTCTGATTTAATGGATTATGAATGAGTTTCACTACATTTTTTATTTCGGATTCTTTTATCAATTCTGGAGGATATTCTTCATGACATGACTGTTCTTTCTCAGCTAATTCCTGGGGAAAAACAAACAAACAAACAACCAAAATGCACAGTAAGTAGTCCACGAAGTTTAAATTAAAAAAAAAAAAAATCAGAAAGAATTATGCTAAAATTTACATAATGAAGAATGAAAGCACTTATTCTAGGTTTACTGGTATACATACATTCCTTATTTTAGTGAGTTCATTTATTGCTTGTTTATTTCCAGGTTCCAGCTTCAAAACAGCTTCAAAATCTGAGGAAAAAATAACAATAATCTGAGCGAAAACTCCAGGCAATTTACAAAGTACTCCTGGCAAATTATTAAGCCTTCTGTTTCTTTTTATGACCATAAATTAAAGACAGGTAAGTAATCCCAACATTTATACCATAATTTTGCTTCAAACACATTTTTGAAACTATTTCTTACTATTTATAAATAGCAATAGTTGCAATTTCACACAAACCTGTTTTCCTATCATGTAAATATCAGAACACTAAAGTTGTATACATACTCAATTTTAAAAAAAAAAACAAACAACCATCCATCTCAACTTTTGTACTGATAACCTCAATTAGTCAGAAATGGTAACTGCTATCAGAAGATTAAAAAACAAACAAACAAACAAAAAACACTCAATCTCGTTCTATTTATCTACATCATCTTCTTATCTCCACCTACCCATCACACTCGGGCTAATTCAAAGTCATACCTTGCATAGCTTCTTTTAGCTTTCCAAGAGCAACTCTTGCAGCTCCTCTTCTAGCAAAAGCTTTAGAGTATGATGCATCTAACAGAAGAGCTTGTGTACAGTCATTTTCTGCCTCTTCATATCTCAGCAAAAGAACAGTACAAAATTAATAATCAGCTTCAAAAGCAGCTATCAGTTTCAGCAGAAAAGACAGTTATTCAAAACAGTGAAAACATGAAGACCCTAATTATCTATACACAGATAAATACAAATCACTAGGACAAAATGCAAAACAAAAACAAACCAAGTAATAAGGGGCATATGATTTTTGATACCATTAAGAATAATTTAGTATAGCCTTCTATTATGGTCATTTGCTTTTGTTGTAAGATAAAATTTCCTCATTACAGTTATGTTTGACTATGACATCATTACATGCATATTATTTTCATTTATTCCTCCCCTCTCCTCTTTCAATTTATCATTAAATTTGTGGAAATAGTATTTTCCGCATTTCTCATCAATTGTAGACATTTTTGAGAGTATCAACAAGCTTTTGTTGCATTTCCTGGGTCCTCATTTCAAAATGCGAAGACCCATGACACTCTGATATCTTAAAAAGTCAGTTTTTCTGCTTGGTCATTCAGTTAAAGTATTATTTTCTCTAATTCACTGACATTATTTGCACTGTAATGTCTTCCACAGCCTTAACCCTGAATTGCAAATCTTATATCACAGAAATAGTGTGTAACTTATTTTATAACATAGAATTTGATATCAGCACATTATCTCTACACAGTCAGCCGTATCACATCAGAAGAGATCACCAACAAAATATTCAGATCTACCACTTTCCATGCTATCAGTTTAAAAGGACTACACTTTCATCTCAAATGAGATGAGAGAGAAAGTGAAAACAAAAAAAGTAGTATTTGACAATTTTAAAAATGATGATATGGAATTTCTCTCATTTGGTATAAAGCATTTCCTACTGTTAATGGATTATTTCAGTAAAGAGTAATTAAAATTAAATACACTGTATGTACATGTCTTCATTACTAGCATTAGAGAAATATTTTAAAAGATGACTCTTCTCTGAAAAAGCTCCTATTCAACCAAGTTAGAACCTACTTATTTATTCAGTGCAATATTTAGTAGCTGACTTTTGTGTTTTTTTTTTAAATAATCAGTAAAGACTAAGCTAGGGGTATGCTCTTGGAAGAAGATAAATATGTAGAATTTTACATGTGAAAGAATGAAAAAAAAATTAAAAGTCATTTAGTTTTTGCTGTAATTTCAAACGGATGACGTTTTATTTTCTCAGAACTTCTTTCCTGTGAGATACATTTGAAGATCACACATTCAGTTGTCTTCTTTAAAAAAAATCCTTTACTGCTTTCAGCATGATTTAGACTGAATAATAGGAAGATTTGGAGTGACTGTAATGAAACTTTGGTGAAAATCATTATTTCTTCTGATTCACAGAAAAAAGCAACAGTATGGTGCATACAATCCTACTTACTTCTGTATCTTGAGATAGGCCATGGCTCTGTTAGCTGGCAGAAGTGCATTGGTGCCATCTGCTGCTATACCACGTGTATAACACTCTATAGCAGCCTCATACTTTCCTTCTTTGAAATAACCATTACCCTGTTATATTTAGAAGAAAAAGTAACGTTGAGCAAGATGTAGTGCAATTGGCTTTTCTTAGACAAGGTCACAATATCAAGATGACAAACAGTACACAGGTTAAAGCAGACATTTATGGTCTGCTTACTCTTATACAATCTGTGCAGACAGACTACAAAAATCTACTTTTCCAGTACTTCAAGGACTAAAGCAAAAATGCTACATGTACAGTTTGAGGTGATTAGGGGCATACATTAGGTAGATAAAAGGAACAAAGAGAGGTGACAGTAAAGAAATCTTAGTTTAGTGAAGTGCAGCATAGCAGAGTTGAATGACTGCCGGCTGTGACTGGCAACACTGAACTTGTCAAGTCTGAATTGCAACCTTTCCTTTTTTTGATAGTGAAAAGAATGGTAGCAGAGATGACAGTTCTTTACTCTTGATGAGCAGTACAAGCCACTCCCTACTGAAAGTTAATAACATAAAGGGTGTTGAGGCACTGCAAAAGGCTGCTGGGACAAGTTGTGGATGCCCCATCCCTGGATGCACTCCAGGCCAGGTCAGATGGGGCCCAGGGCAACCTGACCCCAAGGCAGGGGTTGGAACTACATGATCTTTAAGGTCTCTTCCAACCTAACCCACTGTATGATTTCTTCATTGTGGCATTGTTTTTTTTATCCTACCTACAAAAATGTATGCTGTGATTTTTTTTCCTACAGTGCATACCAACCACCCTGTATTTAGGAAATTCAGGACAGAATCAAGTTTAAATTTGCACATTTGTATGATTAATAGCACACTACAACATTTTACTTTGCTAGTTCATCTGTCCAATCAGAAGATGCAACTTACCAAATCTTTTTCTATAACAGCCTTCTGCTTGAGCTGCTCTTCTTCAATGCACCTTCTCTCATTGTCTGTTAATTCTGATTTGGCTGCTTCTTCAAACTCTTTTTGTTTTGAGCTTTCAGATGATAGAGCCTGCAAAGGTATCATTGTTTTTCAGTATGCATTTCCCTCACTTATGCGTTTTCAGAACAGAAGTTAGAGTATTTCCAAACTGTAAAAGTCAGCCAAGCATCTTAACACTAGTTCAACTTACAGTAAGAACACAAATTGAAGAGATCATTCTAAACTGTTCTTGAAATTGCATTTCTATGTGGGCTTCTGAATAGGAATATTACTTGGTAAATAAAGGAATATAATTTCTGAGGCATATTCCAAACTCACATGTCACTTATTTCTTCAATTATTGGAGATTCTGGGTCTTGATTTTGAAATGAAATTTTCAAAGAATTTTCAAGACCACAATTAAAGAGGTAATGCTAGGTCATCTTCTGTTTTACTAAGTTCATCACAATCAACATTCTTTCCCTCTTACCGAAGAGGGAGCAGAATATTCTGTTCCACTAGGCTTAAACTCACTTTCTAGTTTGGCACAGCAAACAGTGGAACTATAGGCAGGATAGGCACTTAGGCTTTAATCTATAGACAGGAGGATACCTAATGTCTCTCATATGTACTGCTACTTTGTACCAAAATGCTATGCATGACTTAAAAGAAAAAACAACAAGAACATTAACACAAGAGGTTTAAAAAACACCAATGGAAGATGATAAAGCCACAGAGCTCACTGTGACAGCTCAGTCCTAATCTGCCAACCCAGCATTACAACAACTTACACATGCACTCCAAAACTAGATGTAATTCAGCTACAAATTTCGACCTCAGTGATCTTCAAATGTTAGAAAAAGCCTGTGCAATTTTGTTGAATTTGGTTCTTGTTTAAGTTAATAACGATATAAAGTAAACAGGATGAATTAATTTATGTTAGAATATATCAATCGTATTACCTGTTCTATTTTCTTCAGTTCATTTTTTGCTTCAAAGTTGTTGGCATCCAGCTCTAAAACTTTTTCATAATCTATCAGAAAATCAGAAAACAATACTTCAGGTAGGAATAAGAGGTTAGCAACGAAAACACAAAATAAAATTCCTTTGAGAATTTTTTTAAGGAATATGTTAAAGAAAACCCACCTTCTTTAGCACCTTGAAAATTTTTCAAAGCAAAACGAGCAGCCCCTCTTCTGGCATAAGCCTTTGTATAATTTTTATCTAAAGCAAGTGCTAAATTGCAATCAGATTCTGCAACAGAAAACCTAGCAAAGACATGAATGAGTTAGTTTGCACGCATTTAGATAAAAAAACCCACAACCTTAGGAAGACACTTTGAAACTTTACAGGCTCTTTCTCAAGTGAGAATCTTGCAGGCTTCTCAAGGACACAGCACAAGTGTTCAAACAACTTCTGATTCAGAATACATCAAATCAGGAAAGGAAAGAAGATGACAACCTACTGCAACAAAGAATATAACCAACTCCCTCATACCCTTTCCTCTCTGAAAAGAAATTAGAGCCTTAGAAACAGAGCTGATAGAAGCTGAAAGGTAAACTAGATGATAAAGCCACACAACTGAGGGTAGCACGTCAAAGAAAAAATATGACTTCACAATAAAATTCTTACTTTTTCATTCTATAAAAAGCAGATGCTCTGTTTGTAGGCAGTACTGGATTGAATGGATCAGAATGCATCCCTTTAGTGTAGCACTTTATAGCTTCATCAAAGTTTCCTTGTTTAAAGTATTTGTTACCCTGTGAATAGAAATAAAGGAGTAATCTCAGCAAATTATTGCAGATATATTAATTCTTGATTAAAAAAAAATATAAGTCAATACTTGTATTTTAGAATGTTTTTAATATCTCTCAGAAAATATTGCTTTACTATGAAATAATTCTTGTAACTAAAATAGCAGTTTGATTCATGCAGGAATTCTATAAAGCATTCAAATTTCTTAATATAAGAACACCACCAATATATTGACTGTTATTAACTGTACATTAAGCAGAACATGCCATCAGTGATGATAAGAGAAATGCAGCCAGAACTTTAAACGCTGAAACAATGGGCCAGAAAAAAGACTTCAAAAAAAACCGAAGAGCAGGCAGATTCCAGTCTTATCTCAGTGAGCAATCTTTAAGAAGCAATTATAACAGCTCCTGTGTTTAAGTTGTTTTTTCATAGATAATTTGTAGATAGTAAACACTGGTATTAACCTTTTCCTTCTCTGCAAGAGCCTTTTCTTTATCTATATGAATTCCATCTTCTTCAGAGTCTGATTCTGGAGATACAGAATCATGAGTACTATCGTCTTTATCAAGTTCTTCCAGTATTTTATCCTGAAAATAGATAAAATAAACCATTATCTTTATAATAACTTCAAAACACAAAATAAATCAGGTAAAACTTTAGGAAAATGAATTTCATCTGTTTAAGAATCTCTACCACTAAAGTCCTCTTCATTGAGAAGTATTCCACACTCCACAAAAAAACCATCTAACACCAACAGCAGTGTTTAGTGTCATATTATACTAGAATTATAATTTTTTAATAGACCTATTGTTAAAACATTTTTGCTCCCTGAAAGTCAAATGCAATCTGCTGGATGAAAGCAGAGAGCGAAAGAACTATAGCATTTCTCATTATTCCAATGCATAATCCTTTGTAGGGAAAAAGCTATTTTCTTTGTCCATAAAATGGACAATACTCCTGTAGAGTAGGATTCTGACCTCTAAATGTAACTCTCAGCACTATTAGAAAATCTGACTTAAAAACAAAATCAACTAGGGACAAAAAAGAAAGCAAACCATGTTAACAAGCAATTACTCTAACTCACCACATCGAGTTTTCCCCAAGCTTCATAATCATAAGACTTGATCTTGTTTTTCTTGTTTTCCTCAGTGGTTGTCTTTGATGGGACTTTACTTTTGCTTTTCTTCTTTTTCTTAAAAGTTTTGTTTCGAATGGGTGGTAAATTCTGTATTGAAATAAGTACTTTATAATAAAAGAAACAGAGATACAAAAGTTGCTTGTACTGAATAATCTGTAGTACCTATATGTACACATAGGTATCCCCATCTACTGCCTACTTTTACTTCATAAATCCATCAAGAAAGCTGTTGTCAGGAATTCTACAAGAAATTCTACAAAAAAAGATAGCGAGCATAAATCTTTCAATATATAGCAATAACAAGTATTACATGCATGATATAATACTGAGTTTTAGAAGACAACTTTCTGCAAAGTATCACTCATTAATACGTTAACAGTGCACAATAAATAGATAAATAATATTGATGCTGCTAACAGAAATACTGTATTAGATCTATCAGGAACTGATTAAACATTTATTGGCCCCAAGCATTCATGACCTCCAGGCTATGGATTCAAAGCTGAGTTAGCAGAATAATTTGCAGCGGGATCCTTGATCTACTTCAGATGAAGAACAAATCAGCTCTTACCATCTACTCATATTTTAATTCAGAACATAATTTGATGAAGTTAACTGTGTTCTCTGAAATAAGACATCTGCAAAACAAGTATGTTTTTACAGCACAAACACTGACATACCTAATAAATAAATAATTATAATCACAAGTCCACTGATTTTACCTCTTCTGGGACACCACTCTGTTTCCTCAATTCAGAATCAACTTCTTTAATATCCTTTTCCCAGCTCTCCAATTCTCTCATAAAATCCTGCAGTTCTTCAGCATTTTGCTTTATCTGCAGCTGAAGCTCCAATGCTTTATTTGATGCAGTCATTGTAACCTACCAAAATACAAGAGATCTTCCTAAGGAGAATTTGTAAGCACGTACTGAAGGAAGCTAGCAACTTCAAAACAAAGAAATCTGACTTAATCTGTAGGCATGCTTCTCAAATAGCATGGCAAAAGCTTTAAATATAAAGAAACCAAGAAACAGTTAAATACGTTTGTGAAAACAAGAAGTCAATATATTATTTAGATTAAATGCACTCCTACTTAAGAATAAGTTATGAGATTTAGTAGGTCAAGAAAAATCCAGGAAATGATGATGCAGTCATCTTAGTTTAAAGCAATTTCTGGAGCATTTCCCAGAAGACAGAACGAGGAAAACAATCAACGTGTTCACACTAAGACTCAATTACAGATTACAGATCTACACACGACTTTATACCCGAGTAGAAACAACGCGCGTGACAAGCCAACACTGAAACACACTTTCTGACAACATAAGCGCGCTTAAACACGAGTACTTTTTTTCCCACCCCGAGGCGGCTCTCACTACCTCCGTCCCGTTACCGAGTGAACAAAGCAGCACGCCTCAGAAGGAGCCCCGTGAGAACAGCGGCTCTGGGTTCTGCAGCCTGCCGCCATCTCCCCACCTCCTCAGAGAAGCAGCACCGGGTGCCGCCCACCCGCTCCTCACACTGCCCACCATCCCCACACGGATGCCAAGGAGACGCGGCCGGGCGGGCTACAGGCCGCCACCGCACGAAAGCAGGCTGGAGCAACCGCCACACCTCCTACACGCACAAAAGGAGACCCCGCTCGTCTCACCCCGGCCCGCCCTTCACTCCGCTGCCCGCCTCAACCTCACCCGCACCGCCTGCCGCTGCACAGCCCAATCTCCTCCCAGGCTGCAGCGCGACGGCGCTCCGACGGCGCCGCAGCAACGGACAGCGCACGCGCGCGAGAAGACGCCTCATTTCCGCTTCTGGGCAGCAGCCGCGGACACCGCTTGGCCACACCCCCACGTCACGTGGCTGGAAGCGGGCCCAGCGATTGGCGCCGCCGGCACAGCCGCCCTTTGCCCCGCAGTCGAGGACGGTGGCTGGCAGGAGCGAGGGGGTGGTGAGCGGCCATGGAGGACGGGGAGTCTGCTTCGCCGCCTGGTGCTGACGGTGGGGAGGAGGAGGATGACTTCGGATACCGGCTTTTCCCCGATCGCAAGAAGGAGCCGCAGAGCTTCCTGGTTCGCAGCCTCTTCACCTTCCACAACAGGTGCCAGTTGATGCTGAGGATGACTCTGGAGACGAGTAAGCTCTCCCCTGGGTCGCGAGGTCTCCAGCCGTCCCGCAGGGCTGCCCGCCGCCAGGTGCCGGGCGCTGCCCCTCTGGAGAGTTGCGGCGGCAGGATGGGGCCTCGGCAGCCGCGGGGTTTGGGAGTTCACGTTTAGGGCTTGATTCTCGCTCTGTTACGTTGCCTGCAAAGACCTTGTCCGCTATCTTCATGCCTGCTACTTATAAAATGACAGTCAGAGGTGACTTCACTTCTCAGTAGCTTTGAGTGCTTTGCTTTGCATAGCCTGAGCTCTGGCACTGAGGTGTCAGTGATTGCCTGAAGGTTGAATACTGCAAAGCAAAAATTTGCGTATGCAGTGCATTCTTTCTGTCATTACGGTCTTTGTATTCTGATTGTAGATGACTTTCAAAACTTTTGTCTAGTGATATTGACTGCAGAAATGTTTTTCTAGATCCGTATGCCCAACTGCTTATTGCGGCCATGAAGCAGTCTGGCTGGTATGTAAACTACTTCATCCCGTTCTGTGTAGTTACATCTTCATTGCAGGGGATTAGCAGGCTTTCTCAAGTTCTTCTCAAACTTTGTACCTTTTAGCACTGTTTTCAACGATCGGCACTTTTCTTGTGAAAACTGCGATGGCTGTGTCAGCGGAGGTTTTGATTCTGCCACTTCTCAGGTAGGCACTGAACTAGATATTGTCAATACAGAGCATTCAAGCAGGAGGGAAATCAACGTTTTACCCAGGTGGATGGTGATAGGACAAGGGGGAACTATTTTAAACAAAGAGAAGGGAGATTTAGTTTAGATGTCGGGGAGAAATTTACCCAGAGAAGCTTGGATGCCTCTTCCCTGGAGGTGTTTATAGCCTGATCGGATGGGGCTCTGGGGAACCTGATCTAGTACCTGATTTAATGACTGGCAACCCTGCCTGCGGCAGCAGTGGCTGGAACTAGATGATCTGCAGGGTTCCTTTCCAAACCAAGCCTTTCTATGACCTTTTAGAGGACTACAGGTTTTTTAATGTTTTCTTCCTTAATGAAAAAATGTACTGATATCTGAGTTATGGTCATGAAAACAAGGCATGTGAAAGTTGTTCTCCAGTATTGAACTTGCATTGCTAATATATTGATGGGGACTAATGTTGAAAAATGATGACCTAAAGAGTCTGTATGTTGTAGATTTTATGCAGCGGATCTCTAAGAAGTGAAGGAGATGTTGAAACTTGATGAAAAAGCTACCTGTATCTCTTCTTCTGCAGATTGTTCTGTGTCAGAACAACATTCGCCACCAGTCCCATATGAACCGAGTGGTTGCGCATGAATTGATACATGCTTTTGATCATTGCCGTGCTCATGTTGACTGGTTCAAAAATGTCAAACATTTGGCCTGCTCAGAGGTAAGTTCAGATGATTCTGATGTTATCATTGAATTCATTGCTGATTGTCGCTAGGGTCAATTAGACATCCTGTTATATTAATTTGATTTAGTTATTGCTCTTGAGATATTTTATTCTTTCTATCTGGTCAACCTAACCAGTTTTCGTACAGAGAACAAACATTTTGTTTTCACAAATAGTAGTAAGTCAGTGTTATGCTAAATAGAATGTAGTCCCTGTGGGTGGAAGTGTAACAAGGCGTGGTTATTTCCAAATGAGAATAGTTTGAGATTAGAATACATTCACATTTTAATTGAATATTTGTACTGTTTTTTTTTCCTCTCCTGCAGTTTTTTGTTTGCTGAGAACTATGCTAACTTGCTTTTCATTTAGACTTTTTGTCTTCCATAGCATGCAGTTTTTGATTGTAATGTTGCTAGTTGCACATTTTACACTGTATATACAATAGTACAGTATTGTTTATATACAACTGCTTATTCCTATATGTGGTACATGACTGGGCTTGATCTTGCTCTTTTTGAGACTGTTTTCTCCAGTTCTTTTGATACTTATTTTATATTATTATAGTGTTTCCAAGTTTTATTTAGTCAATATTTTAATTTTTCCATTTCATATTTTCTCTGTATTTGTTTTCACTTAATTTTAGGCAATTTAGTTTTGTCTGTGCTTTTTAACTCAGGAGTTAGTGTGTGGAACAGTTGACAGACAGAAGAAATTGTACTGCATAGGACAAGAGAGTTAACAAGCTAAAGAAGATGTACTCATTTAAATGTGTCTATTTCTAGAGAGCTTGGGTTACTGCTATGCTAGATATTGCAGGTGGTAGTCATTCAAAGGTGCCTGCTTTTCTTCCAGACTCCTTCATCAGTTTCTAAAATAGATGCTTTTAGGATTAACTTAATTTCTTTTAGGAGTCTACTTTTGTTTTCAGCTCATTCATTTAAGCATTGAGAATAGGTGAACTTTAATCCTCAGTGAAACCTGCAGGCTGTATAGTATTACTTTGTAATCCAATGGAGTGGAATGAGCAGTTAAAAAGGGTATTCTGTACTTAGCAAATTGAAAAGGAATATTTTCTGCCCTCAGCCACCAGGAAGAAAAAAATTAGTTACTTTTTTATAAATTTTGTACTTCCACGCTTTTCTTATCTTGTGGCTTTTTTGTTTCCCTCAATAGATTCGAGCTGCTAATCTCAGTGGAGACTGTACACTGATGAATGAAATAGCTAGGTTTAAATTTGGACTGAAAGGACATCATCAGGTAAAGACTGTAGATATTAATGTCTTCTGATTAACAAATGAGCCTTCTTTAGCAGTTTGATCTCTGCCTCCTTTTGTAGCTAAAAATGTCACAGAAAGAAGTAGATGGAAGGAATAATTGCATGCATCAGTACAGGCTGGGGAATGAGCTGCTGGAGAGGAGCTCTGCAGAGAGGGACCTGGGTGTCCTGGTGGACAACAGGTTGGCCATGAGCCAACAGTGTGCCCTTGTGGCCAAGAGGGCCAATGGCATCCTGGGATGCATTAAAAAGAGCGTGGCCAGCAGGTCGAGGGAGGTGATCCTCCCCCTCTACTCTGCCCTGGTAAGGCCTCATCTGGAGTACTGCATCCAGTTCTGGGCTCCCCAGTACAAAAAAGACAGGGATCTCTTGGAAAGAGTCCAGCGGAGGGCCACAAAGATGGTGAAGGGCCTGGAGCATCTCTCCTATGAGGAAAGGCTGAGTGAACTGGGTCTGTTCAGCCTTGAGAAAAGACGACTGAGAGGGGACCTGATCCAGGTTTATAAATATCTGAGGTGTGGGGGCCATAGTGGTGAGGCCAGACTCTTTTCAGCGGTACATGGAAACAGGACAAGGGGAAACAGACATAAGCTGCAGCGCAGGAAGTTCCGCACGAATGTGTGTAAGAACTTGTTTATGGTGAGGGTGACGGAGCACTGGAACAGGCTGCCCAGGGAGGTTGTAGAGTCTCCTTCTCTGGAGATATTCAAGACTCGCCTGGACACCTACCTGTGCAACATGGTGTAGGGAACCTGCTTTGGCAGGGGGGTTGGTCTCAATGATCTCTAGAGGTCCCTTTCAACCTCTCCAATTCTGTGATTCTTTGATATGTCTGACAATCCTTAATACCTCTGTTCAACTTTCATGTACCCTTCATTTTCCTCTTTGCGTTTTATTCTCCCATTGCTGAGCCTCAATTTGTGCTTGTTTATGTCTGAAATTTCCTCAGGGCCCCTGTTATTTTTTCCTCTGTAAGTTTTTCCCTTGGATGTGTACTTCATGATCTGTTAATTGTGCCTACCATCTATATCCAGGCTGCACTTATTATTTCTTTGTTGTTGTGCACATTCCTCTATTTCCTGCAGTCTTGTTCGTTCTTGGCTTGCATTCTTTGCGTATTTCCCATTCTTAAACCTCTCTGCTAGTGAGAAGAGAGCAGAATGCAGCTAAACAATCTGCATATTCCTCATACTACTCCAGCTGGAGTATGTTCTTAACAGGTAGGCTGGAGAGGGGGGAAGCATAAGGAGCTTAATCTTGCTTCGTTTATCCAGGAACCTGCATTCGCATTCCTGGCCTGTCCTGCGTTCTTGCAGGTGACTGAATGTTTTTCTGCAAAGCAGCAGCCTCCTAATATTTAGCTTTCTGCATTATTTTTAATTCTTCCTCCTCCTTACTCCTACTTTTGTACTTCCTAGAGGAAGTTTATTGTTAGTTCCTTCCGCTGTTTTACAGATGTAAGGTACTAGTCAGTCCTGAAACATTAGTCTATAATTTAATTTCACTGTTTACATGGTCACTTGTACCTGCCGATGTGCATGTAATAATAGCATTCTTTTTTGATGGTTTCTGATATTTTTCATCCACATTTTATAATACTGTTCATACCTCTGTACTACCCTGCAATTCCATTTTTGGAGAGCAGTAGTGTTACAGGACCAATGCTCCTACATATGCCATGGATTTTACTGCTTAATTAACATTTGTTTAATTAACTTTTAATGGTTCATGGTTAGTTTTGTTTGTTTGTTTTTTGGTTTGCGGAATCACAGAATTGCTCAGGTTGGGAAAGACCTCAAAGAGAATCAAGTCCAACCACAACCTAACCATACTACCCTAACTAACAACCCTCTACTAAATCATGTCCCTGAGCATCACATCCAAACAGTTTTTAAACACAACCAGGGATGGTGACTCAACCACCTCCCTGGGGATCCTATTCCTGTGCTTAACAACCCTCTCTGTAAAGAAGCGTTTCCTGATATCCAGCCTAAACTTACCCTGGCACAACTTGAGGCCATTTCCCCTCGTCCCGTCACTAGTGAGAAGAGACCAACCCCGCTCTCGCTGTAAGCACCTTTCAGATATTATAAGAGAGCAATAAGGTCTCCCCTCAGCCTCTTCTTCCCTGGACTGAACAGCCCCAGTTTCTTCAGTCACTCCTCGCAGGGCATATTCTCCAAGTCCTTCACAAGCCTTGTTGCCCTTCTTTGGACCTGCTCCAGCACCTCAATGTCCTTTCTGTACTGAGGTGCCCAAAACTGAACACAGTACTCAAGGTGAGGCCTCACCAATGCCAAGTGCAGGGGCAGGATGACTTCCCTAGTCCTGCTCACCACACCATTCCTGATACAAGGCAGGATGCCACTGGCCTTTTTGGCCACCTGGGCACACTGCTGGCTCATATTCAGCTGACTGTCCATCAGTAGACCAGGGTCCCTTTTCATCAGGCAGCTTTCCAGCCACTCCTCCCCAAGCCTGTAGGGTTGCTTGGGGTTGTTATGACTAAAATGCAGGACTTGACACTTGGCCCTATTGAAACTCATGCAGTTTGCCATGGCCTATTGATCCAGTCTGTCCAGGTCCCTCTGTAGTGCCTTTCTTCTCTTAGACAGCAACTTGGTCTTGTCTGCAAACTTATTGAGGGTGCACTCAATCCTCTCATCAAGATAATTAATTTAAAACGCTTTCTTAATTATTTTTGTTAGAGTGAAGTACCAGAATACTTTGTCATATTCTAAAGCATTGCCACTGATAGTGGATGGTTAATAAAAACTAAACAAAAACAGGATTCACAGGAAATGTAACACGATTACTTCACCTACTCCAAAGGGTTAAAACTTTTAAGGGTTTGAAAATTGGAGGAAAAGATATTGCAATGGGTTTAAATAACCACGTGTCACCCAATGCTGCCGAGGACAAGCAGATTGTTTTAGAGATCTTTGGAAGAATGACAGCTGGTTACAGGGTTTTGATTATAATTAAAGATTTATAATTACATAAAATGTTAGCAGTCAGCATTGGTTGTTATCTACAATTTCTGTCACTTAGTGTAGCTTACACTTAACATACAGTTTCTAGAATTCTTAGTCACATGGGTTTTTTCAGTCACCTGGACCCTCTGCAGATTGGGTCAGATTCTTGTTAATCAGTATGTAATGCACTAATCATAACCTAAACTCTGACTAAACAAATGTGAGCCACTCACTAAGTCCTCTGAAATGAAGATGAGGCACCAGAGGAGTCATAGGTTTGATCTTACAGCAGCAGTTCTGGTTTGGCTCCCACTTGGTGCTTGCTGCTGCTTGATTTTACAGTTTCCAGTTCTGTGTCCCAAATCCAAGTGCTGTTTGTGCTTCCATATTATGTGAGGGGTGTAACCACATCCTTATAGTGACCCAGCACCTGGGCCTTGATAATGCAAAAGGACTTTACCCTGTGAATGGACATCCTCACACTGTGATGCCAGAGAGGGGGAGAGATAAGGGGGAAGAGTGGTACATGGCCAGCCTACTTGCAATTGTGAATGTTTGCCATATTGTTGGTTACAGTAACCATATTACCAGGGTTAGGGAGCAAAGTTGCACCAGTGCTTCTTGAAGGAATTAATTTTTTTAATAATAAAGATTACAGGTTTTGTCCCAAAGTCCTTAGTCTTGTTTACTCCAGAGCAGCAATATGCTGGCTCCAGCATTTGTAGCTGGAGATGCTTATGTTATTCTTATCCTTTAGTATACAAACTGTGTAAGCAAAAGTAGGCATAAAGAAACATATCAAAACAAAGGCTAATAGAGGAATCGTTCCTTTTTATGTTTTAGAGAATTTCAATTGGAAAAGTACTAATTGGTATTTATGTCTGTTTATTTTTGACATATTTTGTGCGCAAGTCAAATTATACACATATTCAATACCCACAGCAAATCTAAAATTTTATTTTTTCCTGTTAAATGGAATTTCATTTTCTTTTCTGAAGGTTTATGTACGCAATGGAAAACTAAAATACATAGTCAAAACAGAATTGAAAACTACGTATTTTAATGCTTAGTGGAGACATTGCTTGACTTTTCTGTGATAATAATCATTGTGTGTGTAGTATAAGTTAGTACTTGACAAAATCTTTTTTGAGGAAAAAAGAATGTATTCTGTTTTTTCAAGTAATGACAGATCTTCTTTATCTGATTTTCATTTTAGACGTGTGTGCGAGACAGAGCAATTCGCTCCATTCTGGCTGTAAGAAAAGTTAGCAGAGAGACTGCAGAAAAAGCTGTGGATGAGGTTTTTGATGCCTGCTTCAATGATCTGGAACCATTTGGGAGAATCCCGCACAGTAAAACAGATGCAAAACGTGCTTATAAAGACTTCCTGAATCGAGATCGCTACACTGCTAATTTGTAAAGGAAAAACATGAAAAACTATGTTAATAACTGGCAGTTCTGTAACATCTGGAGTTACAGTCTACACACACAGTGCTGGTGGAAAGGGGCAGTTCTTTTGAATGTATCAATTCATTTTGTAAGTTTTTTCCAGGAGCCATCTCCTGTTGAGGTAAATGAAGTAAATGAACTAGACTAAAAATACTGTCTTTCCTCACTTGTTCAGGCAAGGTCATTTAGTATATCAAATTACTTGGCAAATAATGATCTGTGTATTTCAGTGCACATTTAATTCAGTTATTGAATAAATTGTTTCATAAAAGTTTTCCAACATCTTTGATACATAGTCATAAATTTGATTATGGTTATCATCCTGTTTGAAAAATTGGGTATGTAACTACAGCTCTATATGTCTATTTAACAGCTGAAGCTAAATCCAAAATGATCTGCTGTGTATATCTTAGTCAGTCTTTGAGCATCTCTGAAATCACTGGAATTCCACCTTGTCTGATGTCAGTTGTAACATACAACCCTTTTACATATTAGAAATTTGAAAACAGTCAAATTACCAGGCTTACCAGATCAAACCTACAACCTGGATAAGCATTATTAAAAGAGTCTCCACCAACCAGTCTTACACAAAAAGTTTGTGTGACTTCCTACTCTAAGGCAGGTAAGCTCATCTCTTCATCTGAGAAAGGCAGAAGATCCTAACTTCACCTTAAATCTTAGAGAAGTTGTCTCATTCTGCTTTTATTTCCAAATGCAGGGTATTATATTGTCTTGCACCCTAGAAAGCCTCATTTTCTTCTTTTTCTTGAAATAAGAGTCTACCACAAGTACAGTACAGTTCACTGAAAGAATGGAGATGTGGCTCCTCAGTCAAAGGGCTTGCTGGTATAGCTGCTACAAGTTACTGGGTCAAGACTGAAGTGTCATACTTAGGGACCTAAAGCATCAAACAGTCTTCTGATTATTATTGTTTCATACTGATTGCCAAATATCTTAGGCCTTCAACTTGAAGTGAGTGGATTTGTTTGTTTGTTTATTTATTTATTTATTTATTTATTTATTTATACTGGTAGTATTAGTTCTCCTCAACGGAATTGCTGAGATTGGAAAACTGATGGAGGCTATCTTCAACCACACTGTGTAGAGCAGGGTAAACTAGGTCAGGTTTTTCAGGAGCAAGTTTAGTTGGGTTTGTATGTGTGTATGGATGGAGACTTAGAGTAATCTTTTCCAGTATTTAATAGTGCTTGTAGGTACGTAGATGTGTATTGAATATTTAAATGGAATTACCATTATTTCAGTTTTTGCTCGTTTCCTCTCATCCTTGGGCACCACTGAGAAGACTGGCTCAGTCTTTATTTCCACCCTTAGAATCATAAAATGAGCCTATTAACTACATATTTAGAAACTTAGATAGTTCTTCCTCTGCTGTGGATAAGTGTGTTTTGTTTCTCACTGATCTTAGAGACCTAGGATTTCTGAAAGCTCGTCCTACTAGTAAATACTGAGTCAATGAAGTCATTTAGTCTTTTTCATGTCCTTTGTCACCAAGTCCACTACATCGTTCAGCACTGGGCTCACATTTTTCTTAGTCTTCCCTTTTTAGCTGATATTCCTGTATCCTGTGTTGTTGCTTTCTATGTTCCTTGCCATGTTCAACTTCTTATCTATCTATCTATCTATCTATCTATCTATCTATTTATTTATTTATTTATTTTCTGCTCTTTCTAATGCGTGCTCTTTTCCCTGCGTGCTCAGACAGCATTTTTGTAAGTCCTCCTGAATCACTCAACTCTGCTTCCACCTACTGTGCTTCCTTTTCACACTTGAGTTTTGTCACAACCTCCTTATTCATCCAAGCAGGTCTGCTATCTTTTCTTAGCTTGCATATAGAGATTGATCATTTTTTAATTTTGAGGATGCAATCCTTATAAGTCATCTAGCTCTCATGGGCCCATCTTCAGGACATTGTTTCTTTTAAATAGATCTGAATAGATCCCTTATGAGGCTGAAATCTATTGTCTTGAAGGCTTTAAACTGAAAGAGGCGAAAATGATTTTAGCTGTTAGGAAAAGATTCTTTACTCAGAGTGGTGAGTCACTGGAACAGGTGGCTCAGAAAAGTTGTGGATACCCTGTCTCTGGAGTGCTTAAGACCAGGTTGGACAGGGCTGTGGGCAGCCTGATTTAGTTGGTGGCAATTGCCCATGGCAGAGGGGTAGAAACTAGATTGTCTTTGAGGTGCCTTTTAACCCAGGCCATTCTATAAGTTTGAGAGTTTTAGCCATGCTTTTGTGCTTTGTTCCTATCATGTAAAGGATAACTTCTCTGTCTCAGCCTGTTCTTCTCAAGGAGACTATCAGCACTCCTGTTGCGTGAGCTATTCCACTACATCTCTGTGACCCTAATACAATCATTGCACTGCAACTACATTCAGATATCTAATTCCTCATCTTTTAGCTTCATTCTTCATAAGTGTGCTTTGTATATACAGGACTGCTAAAAAGTCCCTGACATCTTAAAGTTATGGAGTGGTACAGATAGATTACTGTTGTATTCTCCAAATTATTCCTTTATTCATCTAAGCACCTAACAAGATACTTCTCTACAGGTACTAATTTAGTTTTAAAAGCTGATTTCAGATTAGTCTTTTTGTGCAGTGGCTAGATGTGAATCAACAAAGGAACAATATGTGATAAAGTTCAAAGTCTTTTCATCTGTATTTCAAATATTCAGCCCCTAACGTGGAAGTAACCAGGGTAATCATCAACCAGACACCTGTAAATAACATAATTCAATTCAATGTAAATAGCATAATTCAATTCCTTGAACTGAATGATGTTGACGCTTCTGAGGAGAGAGTTGCCATTCAGGGGGACAACCTTAATGAGCCTGGGAGGTGGGCTCATCTGAACTTCATGCAGTTCAACAAAGCCAAATGCAAGACCCTGCACCTGGGTTACAGGAATCCCAAGCACAAGTGTGGGCTGGAAAGTACCTGGAACTTGGGCTCTTAGCACAAGAATTTTCCAGTTGTGTTTTTTTCACGGTGAGTTCAGTCCAGCAAAACAAAACTAACTAATCAAACAACTCTCTGTCATACTACCTGTTGAATTAAAGCTATCAAGAAATAGCAGTAGAATGCCACCTGCTTCCTGGCTGTGCTTAGGCAACATGTAAGGTCATACACATTTGAAGTTCACTCACTTCACCCACTCTCAAGAGAATGTCTCTATCACGTGGTCAAAATGTTGTGGTTCTGCTCATGCTTTCCTTGGCTATGTGCATTTTGCTTGCTTTCGTTCTCTCTCAAGGTTTGGAAAGAAACAGAAAAACTGGATGAGAGTGGAAGTAATGACTATAAATATATTATCACAGAGAATTTAAGTCATGTTATAAGGTAGAATGGTTATGAAATGGCCAACATTAATTTAATTAGAAAATTAGAAAATGAAGATTGAAGGTATTCTAAATAGAGTAGAGGACAAGGAATGTATATTTTTTATACAGGAATGAAAAATATAGGGAAAGACTTGAGCACAGAATGAGAAATGTTAAGCGTTTGAGTAAGGAATCCTTGAGGCTAAGGGAAAATCAGATTGTTGTGCATTCACATTTATTTATTTATTTATTTATTTATTCTGGTACAATGTAAGGGAATTGATATATCACAGCCTGAACTGATGATTGAGGGCCTGGTAAAGAGGGTGGCTGGCCCAGGAAGCACAGGTGCAAGCAATTTACCTGTACTTCCCATGTGACTGGAAGGGATGAACATGAATCTGCCCCTCCCTGGGCTCATTTAAGGGCTAGCCTCTGAAGAGACACTGTCATCTGCGTGGAGGCTACTTTCTAAGAAGGAGTGTTTGAGACCTAGGGAGCCTATCTCCAGTTAGATGAGTCAACTTTTTCCCTATATGTGATTACTGATGTTCCTAATGACACTTTGCCTGATATCACAACTAACTTAGCAGACAAAATTTCACTGATTCCAAGTACCAACATACAGTAATCCTATGTTTTAGAATTGCATTTGATTATTTGTGATTTTTTTTTTTTGCCTATGTTTTTCTTCTTCAAATCCCAAAATAGGTTGCTCTGAAAGTAAAGCCTCCTACTTATTTCCCCAGAAAGCAATAAGCCACAATAACACTATACAAAAGAACAAATTATTGTTTACAAAACACTGGTTTTCAGTATAGCCGCCGCCATTACCTATGCATTTTTGCCAGCAATGAACAAGAGCCTGAAAGTTGCGGCTGTAAAAATCTGCACCAGTGGAGGTGACCTGCTGTCACAGCTGCTGAAATGCACTGCCTCACTGTGCTTGCATCCATTATTTGATCTTTATAAATGTTCAGCAAATGTTGACGAATGTCAATGGTGCAATTTTCTCTGCATGAAGGAATTCAATGACACACCTTTGCTTCTATGTCAGATGCTATTTTGCCAGACTGCCCTTTTGTCTCGTGGCAACAAAATGTAATGAAATATCAGCAGGAAGCTTTAGTCTTTACTTCCATACCATCAACATCCGATCCTGATGTCATGGACCAACATCATCAAATAGGAGGCATTACTTTTGGAGCAGCCCTCATATATAACTTTTATTTCCAGTTTTTCTATGTCTTCCCCTGCAGCACTAGGGAGGCTGCAGTAATTCTTTTACCCATATTAATAAGTAAGTGATTTAGAATGAAATGATGAGTTTTAGATCTTAAACCCAAGTGGCACTAAAAGGGTATTTTACTTGCATGGTCACAATTAAACTAATCACCAAACCTGTTATCAGGAAGGAACTTTCTCCCAGTTAATTTGGTAGGGATGACTCTCTTTCCTTATTCTGTAGTATGGAGATTGAAGCAATACTCTGAAGGCTGAAAAAAGGAGGTATTAGTCACTGTAGCAGTTGCGCTGAAGGAATGATAAGCTGGGCATTGTGTGCATAGGGACACAGTTAAATGCCAGACTAGGAGCAAGACTGTTTACAGTCCATTAGAAGCCCAGCTAGAGTCTACACCAGACACCCATGACACTCAGCGTAGGAGATATTACATATAACAATATGTAGCATCAACAGAACATACAGTGCTGCTAATGGCTGGCATCTGCATGCATACTTACCATGTCAGCAGAGCAGTAGTGCTTGAGAGTAGACCATAAACAGTGTAGTACAATAGATAAAGACCTAATTAAATGCACATGATAGAGCTGTTGCTTGCTTTGGATTTAAGCAGTTGAGCAGCTGGACACTGTTCTGTGCTTTTCGGTCACCAGTGCACAGCATTATGCTATTATTGCTGTTCTGAATGAAGATGCC